AGGCGCAATTAAAGTATTTCCTTAAATGAGGGGTTGTTATGTTGATTTTGATTTGATTATCAATAAGTGAAAATGTCAAAGACTGCAGAGCTATGTGATTTAAAGATAAAAAAATAAAACTGACTGATTATAATAACGTTTTCTTTATTTTTCTCTCAAAACATGATCCTTATAAGGAAGTTTCGGTTTCGGTTTCGGTTTCGGCCGAAACTGAGACCGTTGCCGAAATTCGGTTTCGGTCGGACACTACTTTATTTATTATAGAGTTAGTACGTTCGCAACTAAGGGGAAGGGAGGGGTATTACTTATCGTAACGAGATTAGATAAAGGGTAGGGTAGATGCGACCACGACTAAGGGTTTCCCCGTAGGTTGCTTTGTGTCTCTTATACGTTTATATGATGATCTGTCTAAAACCTTCAGCGGTTTCAATATTTTAACATTGTAACTTATCATGTCTTTAACACCACAAGAACTAATAAGTTCTTCCTGTCGTTTTTTCTGACGAGGAAGTGGAGAGTGCCATCCATATCCTCTGTTATTACTGCCCCGCTTTAGCTGAACGTAGATGCCGTTTTCTTACCTCTACTATCAGGTTTTAGAAACGGAAAATGTTACCCCCTATGTCCAAATGGTACTCTCCTTCTAGGAGGACTTCTTTGGAGCGTAAGCGGAATCGGCAATCGAATGTACTGGAGGTCTGGACAAACTCAACGTAAACAATAATAGTATAACACCTCTGTCATATCCCACTGTTCCAGATAACACAACAGGTTAATTTAGAAGCGGAGTTATTACCAATCCCCGATTATATTTCAAAGCAAGAAGTATCTACTGATAGTTTCATACATAATTCAAAATCAGTAGAAAATACCACAAATGGCGCGGAAAACGCCATCTGTAGTACGATGCTACATTTTAGGATTTCGTATGTTCCAACAAGGTCCATTTAAATATATGGATATCTAACCTCAACGTGATAGACACGTTACCTATAATCGAATAAAATAATTCGAAGTGGTCTGTATTCTGTCGAAACTGTCAGACGCGGATCGCGATTTCGATCTTTTTGGATCTCATCAGCGCGTCGCAGGCAGCTCCGACAGAACACAGACCACTTCGAATTATTTTATTCGATTATGGGTAACGTGCCTATTTCGTTTCAGCAAGTAGATATCCATATATCTAAATGGACCTTGTTGGAACATACGAAATCCTAAAATGTAGCATCGTACTACAGATGGCGTTTTCCGCGCCATTTGTGGTATTTTCTAAAACGCGCTGTTAAGACAGCAGGTAAAGGTTGGTCTGTGTTCTGTCGGAGCTGCTTGCGACGCGCTGATGAGATCCAAAAAGATCGAAATCGCGATCCNGTTGAGAAAGTTTTTAAGTTTTTTTATAACAATTTGCTTACTGATAGTATTGAGAAACATTTTTTTAAAAAATTATTTTCTGCTTTCAAAAATATGTATATGTTTTAAATAGATACCACTTATCATTATAATTTGGTTTATCATTAGTCTGGACGTGGTTTCTTTACGTGAACATTTTTTTTACGTTTCTTTTTATTAAAGTTTTTATTTTAATGACTATAGCCACCCACAATATTATATGAATTATTACAGATAATATAGTAGGACTTTAGACAGTATTAATTTAAGCTGCTGCGTAAACATTAAACGTTGGTATCAGCAATTTCTTATGCTGAAGTGTACGATGTGTTGCATACCCACTTACAAACAATTACTTTAAATTAAATTTTTTAAACAATTTTTAACATAAAGAAAGTACAAATTGTTCACAAAAGTGAATTTGGACCACTCGAAGCAATGGTCAACAGTTTCAAGCTCACAGTGACTAATAGGGGGGAAGAACTTGTATGGTTAAAGTAAATTCTTTTAGCTTCATCAACAAGTAAAAGTGTTTTTCTTTTTTTTTTGAAGTAGGTATATGATAAAAACAATTTTGATTTGGACCCCTCTTTCGCCTTTGGTGAGATTTGGTAAAATGTGATGGGACTTTTTTCCCTCTTGGGCATTTACCCAGGCAAAATGGGACCCCCCCAACATTAGTAAAAAAAGATGAATTAAAAAGTTGATGTAAGATTTTCAATGATCCCACACTCCCTTTAAACTAGATTTGATGAGATTTTGCTAGACTCTTCCCCCCCTTTTTGAGCTCGCGTAATTAATGAATGTCCCCTAACGTGAAATATAACTTTTTAAAATATTTGGAAAACTTTTTTAAAAAAACTTACGTCTTAACAAATCGTCGGCGTATGGTATTCGGTCTAATTTAGGAACAGGGGTTCTGCAATAATTGTTAATAGACCCGTTTTCTTTACAACATATTCGTGGGGCACAGTCCTTGTCTGATTTACAGGGTTTTATAGAGAATATTTCGGGAAGGGGCTCTACCGGGCACTGTTGCTCAATTATTCCAAATAATCCTGCAAATTAAATAGGATTATTCTTATTTTTATAGTAGTAGGTATCTATTGTATAATTAATTAATTATTAATCAGAAAGACGAAAAGTGTAATAATTGATATCCTACTTCGTGGAAGTTGTCTGACGTATTATATTTTTATATTCTATCTAACAATGTCCGATGTAAAAATTATCACTTAATAACAAATTGAAAGGAACCTGCGTGAATAAAACGCTCGTCATAAGAATGGATATATTTTTGCAAAATTTTTGCGCGAAAAAGTTCCAGTTCTTACAGATGTGGTCGTGACTAGCATTAAATGAAAGACACAAAACATTTCAAATGAATTTTAACCACATGCGGCACTAGTAGGCATTTAGTTTATGTAAAAAACTTACATTTTCCCATACACTAGCATTGTGACATACTTCCCAAAGGTTCATTAATTCTTCCAACCATAAATTATACCCAATGTTGGCCTGCTCAGGCTTCATAATTACTGGCAAAAACAATTCTAAATATTCTATAGCACAAGCAATGTCGGCGGTGCTGTGGGGGCATAATAGTGGCCTAAATTCATCTAATATTTCCTGTGTTGCTTCAACTGGAAAATAACTAAAACATGAAAATCATTAATTGGTTAAAAAGAAAACAACCTAACACCTACATTCTGCAAAATCTTATCAAATTTTTCAGAGTATTCTCTAATGTCAAAAAATATCTGTACATTCCCAAGTCTGTTTTGCTTGTTTCCATTATCCTAATACATAAATCATAAAGTGGTTTCCATTCTAATTCTAGTTCTTCTGGACTTATTAAATGTCTTTTTCTATAACAGATAAGTTTTAATAAAAATAAAACAATGTAAATTTAACATAACTTTATTTTGCTTACTTTAAAAGGAATTGTAAAGTTGAAGCAAATTTGTTAATTCTGGTGGGTTCTAAATTTGGAATGGTAAGAAGTGCATAATATAATTGAATAAGGCCAATGTGGTCTTCCTTTGAAAATTTAAGTCCATAAATTTTCATATATCTGTAAAAGAAAAATTTTAAATTTAAAAACTACGGCCAAAATTTAAAAACTCTTGTCATTTAGTATGTTGGGTTGCATAAAATAAAAGTTTACAAGTTGACATTTGGTATTTTGACAACTCTGTCAAAATTGCAAAGATCATTTAAAGCAATTTTAAATTAGTTAAGATTAAGTTAAAAAAGGCATATTTTAGATTAATGAACCTTAATTTTACCCATATTTATACTTTAAGAAACCTTACTTAATAAGTCTGGATGTCCATAAAGCACAGCCTGGTCTCGTTTCTTTTGCTAAAACCGACTTGACAAGGTTAGTTTTGATGTCTAGAAATAATCTTGCAGATTCTTCATCTAGTTTATCGGCGTAAGGAAGTAATTTATTATAAACATTTTCTTTTTGAGGCAGAAATCCTGAAATATCAGTATATTTCATTGTATTTTCTTCCTTCATGGTGATGAGCAGAGCACTTTCTTTATTAAACTAAATTTGTATTTCACTGTCAACTTTCTTCAACCGTTCATGTGAGCGCATTAATTAGTTATTGAACAACTTGCTATTTTTGTCAATTTTAGACTAGTCATTTGCAGACATACTTCTTTTCACCATTCAAGTATTGTTAATTTACCAATCATGCCTCTTACAATGAAATGCTACATCATGCTAACCAATCATATAACAGAATAAGAAGCGCCATTTTTAAATTAAATTACCATTAACTTTAATTGCAATACTACTACTATTTTACAGATGTCCAAGTCACTCATGTTCCTGTCTCACTTAAGAATTCTAAGGACTAAAACAAATGTGCACACAAATGGCATTTACTTTATAGCAAATTATTCAAAAGGTATAAATGTACTAAATTATATTTATCTTGTCTCTTACATTTCTTTTATTAGATATCACACCAAACTCAACAAAAGACGATTATTTACTATCTGACTTAAAAAACGTTCATTCAGCATCCAATGTATTTAATATTGTATCAAAACATATAACCATTATGAATCAGAAACATATATTACAAGCATTTAAGACATTATTTGTGCTGCAAAAAAGTGGCAAGTATGTTTGAATAACTCTTTAAAAGNTATCATTAGTCTGGACGTGGTTTCTTTACGTGAACATTTTTTTTACGTTTCTTTTTATTAAAGTTTTTATTTTAATGACTATAGCCACCCACAATATTATATGAATTATTACAGATAATATAGTAGGACTTTAGACAGTATTAATTTAAGCTGCTGCGTAAACATTAAACGAAAGGTACATGTGCCCATTATATAGATACCTATATTGTGAGGAATAAAAAAACCTTGGAGAAGTTCATCGTGATACTGTCCACATGACTACAAGTACAGAGATGGTTCGAGTAAAATGTAATGCTGTTTTCTTTGGGTAAAATAAAGTGGCACACGGGCGGTACTAGTTTAATTACTTAATTAACAAAATGGAAAACGATAAATAATTTACAGTATTAGAAACATAGTTAGACTTCCATGCCTTTATTTTAGTGTCTGACCGAAAGTTCAGTTTCGGTTTCGGTCGAGTTTCGGTTTCGGCGGCAAACCTGCCGAAACTATGACCGAAACCGAAACTGCGTTCAAGAGTTCCTATACCTATTGTGATATTAGGTAACAATAACAAAAGTAATTTTATGTTTAATATTATATAAAAAAAA